CCTCTCCCTCTCAGGGTCTTTATTTCTTCCTCTGAACAGGAAGGAGTGAATCATTTCCATGATTCCTCTCCTGAATATGAGGAGCCTGGATTTCACCAGCCAGAAACATTTCAAAAGATATTTCCAGGCTCTCAATTTTAATTTAGCAAAGGACTGTCCAACAAATACCATTGTTTAATTACAAACACATAAGACCCTCTAACCAAAAAAGAGATGGAGGATGTATCTCAGAGGAAAGAACCACCCAAGAAGAGATGGCTGGCAGCCTGGCCTCAGCGTCCCCATGGTCCTTGCCCACGTCTGTGCCTCTCACTCTGTCCTTCTGGCTGAGCGGTTGCAAGTGTGGCCTGGCTGCAGCAGTTTCCTAATAAGGGCAGGGGTGGGGCTCTGGCATGCGGGGCCCCTCTCTTCTCCTCAGTGCTGTGGCTCTCTTGCAGGTGGCATTCTGCCCCTTGGACACCCTGGAGAGCTCCTTGCTGGCTGACCAGGAGGACAGCCTGCCCAAGCTCTGCACTGCGTGGGGGCTGCACAGCCGCATCAGCAGCATGAAGGAGAGGCTGTCCAAGATGCAGGCCCCGATGCGATGCCGCGCTGCTGGGGAAGCCCAGAGTCCCGAGCCGGGGGCCACATCAGGAGAGGTACTGCCAGGTTGTGGGGGAGGGTCTGGAGGATGGGCCTGCGTGTCTCCAGAGCATCTACCACGATCGTCTTCCCCCTCTCCATCTTCTCTTCATCCCTGCGTTTCTCTTTCTGTCCGTTTTCCTTCCCCTTCTCTGAGGGTATGCTCATTACAGAAAGTTTGAAATGTACAGATAGGTATAAAATAAAGAGGAAAATCACTCAACACCCAGAGGCATGACTAGTAAGGTTTAAGTGTGTTTCCTTCAGTGTTCTGTATCCTTTCCCCACCAGATGTCTCGTAATACGTGCATTTTCCAGTCAACCTTGAAACAAAAGCAGACAGACTGGGATTTCAAAATGTAGAATAGATAAACAAGATTATACTGTATAGCTCAGGGAAATATATACAAGGTCTTGTGGTAGCTCACAGCAAAAAAAAAAGTGACAATGAATATACATATGTTCATGTATAACTGAAAAATTGTGCTCTACACTGGAATTTGACACAACATTGTAAAATGACTATAACTCAGTAAAAAAAGTTAAAAGAAAAAAAAAAACTTCAAACAAAGGCACTTTTCCCGAAGGCTTAGAAGCAGAGCACAGACTGTTTCTAGTGGCCAAGAACAGGGACCCCCAGGAAGGGTCCAAGCAGCCGCAAGACACCCACCTCTGGAGGATGGGTGGGGGTGGGAGGGGTTCATCCTCACAGCCAGGAGGCAGTCCGGCCCTTCCCAGCAGCTTTGGCTTCTGTGATGACCACACTGCCTGGAGGCTGCAGGGCTAGGGGACAGACACTCTTCAGTGAGAGGGGCCCCAGCCAAGGCTGCAAACTCTGAAGCCCCTCCTGTGCACTGGGGTGCAGAGAGATGTCGGCGCCCCCCACCTCACTTTTCTAGAACTGGCTTCTGGGGCCACACTTAGCTGTTCTTGCTTAGCTGCTGGGGGCAGAAAATGAAGGCAACCAGGGTAGCCTGGGACCACAGATCGTGGTCCTAAACTGGGCCCAGGTATTCTGGGAAGGCCCGGCTGGCTGGGGCTCCAGGCCTCTTCACTAGTCACTGCTGGACCGAGTCGGAGAGCGGGAGTGAGAACGGTCAGGCTGCTACTGAGACCCAGAACTCTGCCTGGGCTCTGTGAGGGCCCTTGGCCCCGGGGCCCACTGTTTAATTGAGGAAGTAAAACTTACAGTGGAATGAAGACCAGTCCGTCATTGAGATGACTTAGACCACGCAGGCCATGAGTCAGGTGGGGAAAATGAGGTCCAGGCTTTGGGCACCAGCATCTCCCAGCACCAGGTGCTCTGCGGCTCTTAATTTCACTTCACCCCCTCCAGCATCTGGTGAGATGGGCATTATTATACCCTTTTACACCTGGGCACTCTCAAGCCACAGGGCAAAGGGTAGGACAGACCGCCTGGAGTTCAAGAGTCTTTAAAAGAAAAGAATAAGGAGAGGGAAGTGGATAAACATCACCCTCTCATCCACTGGTAGCACTTTTTAGATTTTTTTAAGCATGTAAATTTAAGCAAAATGTATTTAAGTAAAATGAGACCATGTGATACAGACAATTTTGAATTGAACTTGCCTTTTTTCAGTTAATTATATCAGTCTTCCCTGCCAATGGCTTCATTTTGTCTAATTGTTGGATTAAATACTCCCCTTTTCAAGTTTTTCCAGTAGTCAGAGCTATCTTTTGCACTGGCTTCCCAAAGCATGCATTTCACTTGGTATGTCTCCTTTCTTTTCACCTGACCCAGCCCCTTTTCTACACCCTGACTGATTGATGAGATCAGTCTATTTTTATTCTGCAGAATGTTCCCCTCTTTCTGCTTTTTTCTTGTTGCTTCCTTCTGGCATCTTTTAGGCTCATCCCTTTATCTATGAGCGGATTGTGGGGCAAGAGTCTTGATGAATTCCTGTTAAACACATTTTTGGGCAGGAGACATTAGAGACAAGGTTGTGTTTGTCGCATTGTGTTACATGAGGAAACACACACTATCTGGCGGAGCCCCCGTGACTGGGCTGAGGTGAACCACTGAGTCTGTCCTGCAGTTAAAATTGACCAGTAGGGGGAGGGTATAGCTCAGTAGTAGAGCACGGGCTTAGCATGCATGAGGGCCTGGGCCCAATCCCCAGCACCTCCATTAAAGCAAATAAGCCTAATTACCTGTCTCCCCCCAAAATAAATAAATAAAAAGAAACCGCCACTTTAAAAATAAAATAACATTTTAAAAAGCGACTGGCGTGGTATTTCCTCGGCACTATGTTCATGAGCCAGAAGCCAGAGGTCAAGAACCCTGGGTCTGGTCCTGACTGCGCCCCTAACTTGCCTGAGGCTTTGGGCAGCCCATTTCCTCAAGTGCCTGCCTCCGTGGGATCCCTCATCTGCAAATTGTGGTTGACACTGTCTCCCTCCCTCCTCCCCTCCCCCCGCAGAGTTTCTGCGAGAAAAAAACAAAGGATATATAGGCTGGGAACAAGATAAGATTGTGTTGTTCTTCTTTGAGGTCCCTACTGCACCCCCCCCCCAGATATTACAGACTGAGATTCTCTTACTATTCGTGATGTCTTCAGGACTGTCTTCGACCTTCCTTTTTTCAGGTTCTTTCAGGAAACTCCCTCAAAAGCCAAAACTCAAGAGAAAGGGGATTAAGGAAGCCCCAGAAACTCCAGAGACCTGCCCATAAGAAGATCTAGCTGGGACAGACAGCCAGCTCGCCCTGGATCCCAGAGCACTTGCTCCTGGGGAGGAAGGGGAGGAGGACCAATGAGGGGAAAGAAGAAATTGTCTTTATCAAAAGGCTGCTCAGGTCTTAATTACGTATAAATAGGGCGGGTGAGGAAATAAACATCCTTCAGATTGTTCTACTTTACTTGGCTGATCATCATCATTTATTCCTTTTTCATTAAAAAAAAATTTGCTAGCCACCCTCTGAGTGGCAGGTGCCCCATAGATACACAGATAAATAAGTGGTGGTCACTTGTGTCAAGGACCAAAACAGCTTTGCGGGGAGACACTCATATATGGTAAATAGACATTACAACGGGGTGAATGCAGATCCCTGGGGAAGGCCACAGTGGAGGTTACAAAGGGGCTGATGTGCGTTTGCCAGGGGAGGGCACAGGGGGGCGCGGAACGGGGCTGGGGTCAGTCAGAGAGTGGTAAGTCTGGCAGCCTGCCTAAATCATCTGGAATTGATCTTACGGGAAACTTAGCGGGGGACAGTGGCAAGGGAGACTCCAGGTAGTGGAACCGTCTGGTGTGACTTGGGTACTGGGCAACGTATGTGGAAGTGAGAGAGGGTAGAGGCAGGAGACCCAAGAAGGAACCAGATCAATAGTCTTAGCTTGCATGGTGCTTCAAACCAGTGGTCCGAAATTAGGAGCCCAGGTGCTGAATTCAGACCACTGATGTGTTTTGTTTGCCCCTTGTGGTCTACTTATTTAAAACACTTTCATTTAATTAGTTGCCAGTATTAACGTGGTGCATTTCATGTTAAAAACAACAACAGCATTTAAAACTGGCCACACTGGGACCTGCCTTCCCACATGGCAACGCCTGCCTAGGGCTGAGTCCCACGTGGCGCGCTGAGGTTTCACTGGGGCTTTTTCCAGTTCCTCATAGTCCCCTCCCCTCCCTGTTGCCCTACGCACTGGCCTCCCTCACTCCCTTATATCACCTGTGGGACCATTTTAGCCTTTAGTGTTTGCTACCCTTGGGATATAAAATGCAATGAAGCTGTGTGTGGAAGGGGGAGGGGTGAATTTGTGAGATTAAGGTAAAATTGACAGTTTGGTCAAAGTATTTTCTAAGAACAGAGGAGAAACAGGGCCCTGCCGGACACAGCGGCTTTCAGGGCCCAGTATGGGCTGGAGTGCTTGGGACCAGAACAAATGTGTGTCTCTTTTTTCCTTTTCACCCTCAATTTGTATTCAGGTGTCAGGGAGGGTATAGCTCAGTGGTAGAGCTCATGCTTAGCACACACGAAGTCCTGGGTTCAGTCCTCAGTACCTCCAATTAAAAAATAAATAACCCTATTTACCCCCTCGCCCCAAAAACGTGTATTCAGGTGTGAATATCATTAAAGATTTAAAATGTTAAAATGAGTATCAATTTAGTCTTGAAGAACAAGCCTGGGGAGGCATAAATAGGGAAGAAGCGGGCAGCTTAGCTCTTTCTTTGTTCCTTATACCCATTGCCTCCCAGAGGCCAGGTGAGAGGGTAAGGCATGCTCCTGGGGTCAGCCTTGCTCAGGTGGTCCTGACGGCCCTGACAAAGCTGGGAGGAGCTGAGAGAAGAGCAAGCCGGCTGGAGGGTGTCCTTTATGACGGAGGGCTCTTCAACTTTCTCTACTACCCCTGAGAGAGTTCACTGACAAGGTCCCAGGGAAAGGGCTAGCTGTGTGGGGACAGACCAGAACAAGGAGGTGTCCCCTGTGTGTGTGGCAGCACCGCCACCTAGTGGAATTAGAGAAATCTACAGCCTTCTTCCTGTGCAGAGAGAGGGAGACCAGGGGGAAGATGGGGAGCTTCAGAACAGCCTGGAGGACAGTCAAGGCCTGACAAAATGGGCAACAGGGGACGCTTGGTTTTGGAGGCTTCTTAATTCTTTCCTCAAATTCAGAAGGATCTCGGAATTCCAAAAATGTAGATCACATGACATTGTTTTACTCAAAACCCTCCAACAGTACAGGGAATTTTGAGGGCAGTGAGAATACCCTGCATGATGCCAGAATGGCGGCTACACACCATTGTACATTTGTCCAGACCCACAGAATGTGCAACATCAAGAGCGAACCCTACTGTAAAGCCTGGGCTTTGGGTGTTGACAGTGCATCAATGTAGGTCCATCAATGGTAACAAATGTACCCCTCTGGTGGGGGCTGTGGGTGACAGGGGAAGGCCATGCATGTGTGGGGACGGAAGCACACAGGAAGTCTCTGAACCTGCTGCTCAATTTTTCTGTGAACCTGAAACTGCTCTGCAAAATAAAGTCTTAAAACAAAAAATAAATAAATAAATAAATAAAACAGCTCTTAACCTCATGCAGATCAAAGGCCAAAATCTTTCCAAGGGCCCACAAGGCCCTCTGTGATCTACCCCTATCCATTCTGTTACCTCTCTGCACTCTTCCTTGTTTATCTCATACGAGTCAAGCATATTCCTGCCTCAGGGCCTTTTCACTGGCTGTTTCCTCTGTCTGGAATGTTCTTTCCCAAGATATTCACATGGCTAACTCCTTCTTTGCCTTCAAATCTTTGTTCAATGTCACCTCCTGCGGG